GTGTGTGTGTGTGTGTGTGTGTGTGTGTGTGTGTGAGAGAGAGAGAGAGAGAGAGAGAGAGAGAGAGAGAGAGAGAGAGAGAGAGAAGGGGGGGGACGGTGCCAAGCTGTCCATCATGTGACTCTGACACGTGCTACTTCGTTTCTTCTTTGCCTTTTGCCTTTCTGGAAATGTTTCAAGATTCACGCCCGGCATTATGGCTCTCATGTCAACGCTACTCCCGACAAGTCCCCCTTCCGAAGAGCAACTGCCAAGCAGATTGAATGCTCATTGTTTCATTCATACAATGCAAAACCTGCTTAACATCAGCGGCACTCCTATAGTTGGAGGCGCCTTCCAACGACTTCCCTGGGCCAATCATCACTGACATCAGCGGAGCCCACCAAACTGAGACTCACCCACATGCGCATGCACTTGCACACATAGCGTAAAAAATCAACAAGCAAGCACGGGGCATACATGCAAGATCGCTTGATCACAAACATATCCAGAGAACACAGCAAACAAAGTCTGATTCTGAATCTTTACCAAAAACATCAACGGGACGACGGACTGGATTTTCTCAGAAAAGTCCAGAGTTCTTGCACAGCACAAAACAAAAACAATGCTGCAAAGGTAACGGCTCCTTAAACAAATACGCAAAGATAACGAAAAAAGAATGTTCGCACGTGGGTTTTCGTCTGCTCTCAGGCTCTTCTTTTTCTTATAGTGAAAGAAGCGGCATATGATAGGGCAGTTCCTTATGCGTTTTCTTTCTTTTGTGCTTTTTTCTTTTTCTGTTCTTGCGGGCGAAGCTGCAACGGGTCACCTAGTGCAGTTGAAAAACTCCTTGTGTGGAATGGATAAACGGTCCAATTTTTCAAAAAGGGTAACTAGGGCACAGTCGCGATTTCAGTTTTAAATCCAATTCAGGCATCCTGCGAATACAACACATGCCCACCTGACCTTAAAGCTGGGTTGTATACATTCACAATTTTCCTCGGTTTGGCATAACATTCATGAAATTGGGACTGAAACACATTTTCGAACTGAAACCGTGACTGCGCCCTAGTTTTCCCTTTTTAAAAAGAAGTGGTGCCACTTTCCTTCCTCAGTCATTCCGATTCGGACTGACAATCTATCCCATGAGAACACTAGGGTCTCTGCTTCTTCCTCTACCTCCTAAGGGCAAGAGGCCCGGGGGGCGAGGCGAGGGGAGGGGAGGGGAGGGGAGGGGAGGGGAGGAATGGGGGGGGGGGAGGGTATTGGCAAAATATTTTGTCAGGCAATGTCAGCATTATTAGTGCATTTTTTTTTCTGCAGGAGGGTTTGAAGTTTGAACGTTTGAACACACGCATACAAGACAAAAAGAACTTGCCCGAATCAAGAAAATTCAGATCGCCAGTGTTATTCAACTTATTCTCCTTTTTTACCCCTTGGCTAAACCCCCCCCTCATAAGCGATTAACAGGGACCCCCACTTTTCAGCCCTGGTTAACCCCCTCAACCCTGAAACAGTGAAAAGTGCATTGGAGATCATTTTTTTTTTAGTTTTCTCTGTTTTTTTTTTTTTTGCCCTGTTTTATTTTCGGTCAAGGTCTGCGTGTGCCAAGTTTGGTGTTTGTTGGAGTCTTCGAGTCGACTCTTTTGGCTAGTCCTGAAAAATCCTGAAAATCCTGAAAACTGAAAAGACTTCAGAAGAGTGAATTTTGCATGAAAACACACTTTTGCCTTGCTGTTTTATAGGTTTTTAAAGTTTTTTTTTTTTTTTTTTTTTTTTTTGTAGTTAGTTAGTATGATCTCCTCTCTATGAATTGGTGGCAAGTTTGGTTAAAATGACCCTTGGGTTTTGTTATAAATGGCCTGACAAGTGGTCTGAAAATTGAGGCCTCCATTAACCGTCTCTCATTTATACCACATATAGAATACGCCACCCATAATTATTAATTACTAATTAGTAAAGACGTGCCCAAGAAAAGAAGACCTTACACCACCCATAATGATTAATTACTAATTAGTAAAGAGGTGCCCAAGAAAAGAAGACCTTTGTCATCAGTCCAGCTGGTGCTCTTTACCTCAATGATGAACATCACCTTGATTCTGTTCTTGTCCATGTGATGATATGCCTCCATCTTCTAGGTCTGGATACGAACTATAGACGTATTGAGTATATCATTAGCAGTAATTTGCTTGAAGGTAGTGACGGAACCTGTGTAGCACTGCGAAACAGAAATGACTATCAACTTTCTGTGTACTAGATTACTACCATCTTCACCCGAATAGAACGCCCAGTAATTATCACCGTATCTGGGCTGAAAGTTGTGCCAAATGACCGGGCGTTCTATTCGGGTGAAGACGGTAGCCTCACACTGATTTGTATGCAGGTCCCTCAATGTGGTCACTGGTTACTCAAAATCATGGCTATTCTGTTGAGTTTTCCTGTTTTACAATTGCTATATCATTTTCAATATTCAACAGTCAATTGTTTGACTATAGTAGTAGGAACTGTGGTCACTATAGTGTTATCAGCACCCACAAGAGCTGTAACTATCTTTTGCTGTGTAGATTTACCTGTTTTTCCTTCTCCTGAGAACTCTAGGAATTTCTGCACATCATTTCTGCCTCATATTATGCTCCACATAAAGGCTCTGACCAAGTCTACGCGATCATCATTGCAGGTTGTAACTACAGAAATGTTTTAAGAAAGTCAAAAAGTTTTTAGTACTTTTTACACTCCCTAATGGTAGGGTGGAAGGTGATGGCGAATTTAAGAAGCATGCATGTAAACCTAAAAGCTACGCTAGATTCAATTTCGATTATGAATCCCATAAGAACTTGAGAGGTGCAAAAACTTGTGGACTTTCTAAAAATATTTCTGTAGCTACAAAGTTGATTGCGTAAACTTAGTCAGAGCCTTTATGTGGAGCATAATAGAAGGCAGAAATGATGTGCAGAAATACATAGAATTCTCAGGAGAAGGAAAAACAGGTAAATCGACACTGCAAAAGATGTTAACATCTTCTTCCAGGCCAGTGCGAGCTGTCCCACCTCGTGTAGCATCTGTATCGCTGGGAAGACCGTGCAGATGGACCTGTATCACTGGGAAGAAGGTGCAGATGGACCTGGTCCAGGTGTTTTCATGTTCGGTCTTTTGCAGATATGTCAGGGGCTTGTGTTCTTCCCCTCTCTGCGGGCATTTTCAAAGAAGACAATTATTGCTTGGCGCATCCATTTGGTATCACGTTTGTTTGTGTGTTTTCTTTGAAACATGTGCAGCTGCCTAGCGGGAAGGAGAGTCTCTTCACTGACACCGTCGGATTCATCCAAAAGCTCCCAACTCAACTGGTGAGGTGGAGAGAAGGCAGGGAAGGTTGATGTGTGTGTGGGGGGAGGGAGGGGAGGGGGTAGGGATTGATTCGGCAGTGCAGTGTGGATGTAAATTTAACCAAAACGTCCAAAATGCATTTGGCTGTGTTAAGTTCTGAACTAGTTGATTGGCGGTGGAAAAGTAACTTTTTGACTGAGCTGTTGCGTTGAGACTTGTAGGCTGTAGCGGGTAAATTAACCTGAACTTATTGCACCCAGGTTTTGTGTAGGAGGAGGAGGAGGAGGAGGAGGAACAAGAATTTAGGGGGAATGGTAAAGGAAAAGCAGGAAAGTGAAGAAGAAGAAGAAGGGGAAGGAGAAGAAGAAGAAGGAGAAGGAAGGAGGAGGAGAAGGAAGGGGAGAAAGAGGAGAAGGAGGGGGAGAAAGGAGGAGTGTGGAATAAGAGAAGGAAGACGAGAAGGGGTAAGACTCCGTAAGATAGAGGAATGAAAAATAGAGTGAAAGAAAACTGTGTCGAAGAATTGTGCCCTTGGCCTTGGGCTGTGTGTGCACTTGCTTGGGTCTAGACGAGAGAATTGAGAGTCGTGGTTCACTTCTTGATTCTATCCTGGCACTCACTCCGCTCGCCAGAGCAGACGCTTCGCGTCTGCTCTATCGCCAGAGTCGCCTGGTTTAGAAAAGAGGGAAGGAAGAAGGGAATCCATGTTGCTTTTTCGTTTGCAGTTCGTTTATAAGTCGTTTAGTTATTATTTTTTGGGCTTGGGAGGAAGGCGGCCAGTTGCATCAGCCATCTGTTGACAGGTCAAGCGTTCTACGACTCCCAAGAAAAAAAAAGAAAAAAGAAAAAAAAATAAAGCGGTATGAAAGTTATGAGTCTTATCACGTAGTATGAACAGGTTTCAACAGTTCTATGCTCTTGTTTTATTGGTGTGCCTGTGCATAATTCACTGAGGCTCAGTGAGTGCCTTCGTCATGAAGTGGTCATTATAAACCCTAAAGGACCTAGACCCTTGTCACAGTTTCACGAAACTTTTCGAACTTGTTCCCTATTCCTGTTCTTGTCCGCTTTTTCCTTTCCCTGGCCTCCCAGGTGGCTAAACCACCAGTACATTTCCCTGTCCCCTCGTTTCCTGTCCCTGGCCTCCCAGGTGATTAATACGCCACAAATTAGCAGGTTGGGCCTACCGTATGGAAAAGGCTGGTGGTGCCAGGCAAATCGCGCGTCGTGCTGGTTCGGCTGGAATTGGCACGAGGTGAAAATCCACTTCGGGAATGAACAGATTCGGGCATTCTGGTGGTTTAACCCGTCATAAACCCTCGTTGCAGTTTCAATGTATTCTCCCCTTCCCTTCCCCCCCCCCTTTGATGTGGACCATTTCTTGATTTATGCGTGTCATCCTCCCGCGGAGGCCATGGTAATCTTCCTTGTGTTTTTCCAGTTTTAATGGATGTCCTGAGGGACGTGTTCTCGGATTCTTGTTAACCTTGCTGGTCCTTTCTTTGACGGCTTAACCAGGTCAAGACTGCTTTAACCCTTTTTCGACCTTTTCTGGCCCCCAGGTTATGGCCACTTAACCAGGTTATGGCCACTTAACCAGGTTATGGCCTAACCACTTAACCAGGCTATGACCTGACCACTTAACCTTACCTTACCTTTTTTCAAGTTTTTGCCCTCGTCTTGTTGTTGACCGTTTTTAACCCTTTTTGGGTCTTTTCTGGACCCCAGGTTATGACCGCTCCTGACCACTTAACCTTACCTTACCTTTTTTCAAACTTGTCTTGTTGTTGACCGTTTTTAACCCTTTTTGGCTCTTTTCTGGCCTCCAGGTTATGACCGCTTGACCAGGTTATGACCTGACCACTTAACCTTGACTTACCTTACCACCTGTCTTGCACTTGTCTTGTATCCAGGTTGCTGCCTTTCGTGCCACTTTGGAAGAGATCTCAGAGTCCAACTTGCTCATTCATGTCATTGATGTGAGGTAACGTATGTGTACGAATCGTCCGATCGGTTCGTGGACCCCGCAGTTTTTATGTTTTTGAAGTTTTGTTAATTTGAGGGGGGGCTTTGGAGAATTTTTGTGGCCAGTCCCCTCTTGGTTTATGAGAGAGGGATGTCATATTGATGCGGCGTTGTATCCGGGGGGAAGAAGCAAGCACAGCACGGACAGGGGTGAGATACAGACCGTGTTGAACCTTGGTTCGGCATTTCTGTGGTCTTCCCCCAAATACAACGTACGCCGTACGGTCATTATACCTGTATTTGGGGCAATTACCAGTCTAGATACAGGGATAATGACCACTATAACACGTACTCTCTGTCATACCTTACTGCAGAACCAAGGTTACACAGTGCTGTGCTTCTGCTTCCCCCAAACAGAACGCCGCATTATCATAAATGTATAGAACCTGTAATGACCCGTCAATACACGGACTGAAACATACAGTCGATTTCTGATTTCTGCTCATAGGATGCATGCCGTACTAAGTTCCCTGCCTGTCGATGTGTTTGCTGGGTCTGAGTGCGTGCTTGTTTGTGGGTTGCATGACTGTGTGTGGCCTGCATGTTGTCGGAGTGCCTTGAGTGTGTGTGTGACCTGTATGGGTCTGTGATGGCTGGGCAGGCCCGTGGGAGGGCCGGTACTTACC